TTTATATGTAGGCAGCTCATAGACATATTTTAGCCAGCAATTGACAACAAAGGCTTACTTTTCCTTGTTTGAATGTTGTAGATCGATACCTAGTTCCCTCCCATCTACTGATTTGTTTGTTTTTGTAACCAAACACATTTTCAGATAGAAGGAGCCTTAAAAAAAAAAAAAATCACACTGAGTATCTTAAGTATGAATGAATGAGAGTGTGTGGAGCTGCCCCTCACCCTCCACCCCTTTGTGGTTTATTCCCGAATTTTCCCAGTCTCTTAAACAGAAAAAATGACTGATATTATAATTACCTTTCAGAAACTGAGCCTTAATTTTTTTTTTTAGAGGGGGAGATAAGTTCTTCCTAACTCACACAGCATAAGCAATGTTGACAGCAATATGATGCCGTTGTATCCTCCTGAGAGTATTATATCTGTTCTGGTAACCGTGTACAGAACGTGAAACTGTCTTCTCATGACTATAAATAAATTCTATATTTCTAAAGGCATGTTGCATTATTTCCCCCTCCCTCTCCCCTTTTCTGGTTTTGAGTAAGTTAAATCCATTCTTATTACAAACAAGGGTTGTTTGATTTTCATTTCAGTGGCATAGTTAGATTTTATTGGACTGGAACAAATGGGAAACAGGAACATGAGCCACGGACTCGCCCGCCTCCCCCTGCTTAAATCTTGTTTTTTTTTTTAGCCGAGTTATTTGGACTCTGGCCCTGTGAACTCCACCTTGAGCAAAGTCACAGACGACAGTTATTTTGCAGGTGAACTCAAGCAATCATATCTAACTATCTAGGTAGGCTTGGCATAGCTCTATCAGTATATACTCTTCTTATCTAGCTAGCTCGTTGGATTTTATCCCAAAAGGAAACTTGCAGACAGGTTACTCTCCTGGTCATTCACCTCTCTGTTCTCACTCTCCCCACTTTCCCTTTGTTGTTTGTTTAAATTTTGTCCCACAGACTCTAGTAGGAGTGATCTTGACTGAAAATTAGCAAATCCAAATACGTATGTTGGGTGACTTTTTGTCTTATTTTTTTTTTCTCAGAAAAAGGAGTGCCTTTTGAAAAAATTTATGTTAGTTGTGGCTTGTATTAATACATCTATTTCATTAGCCCAGTTCTCAGAAAAGTGTATCTTTCCAAGAGCACTGTGAAAATACCCGTGCCTGGGCCTTGCTCTGACTGTGGTCTTCCAGCAGTGTGCAGGCCCACTCTGCCCCGCTAGCCTCAGCCTTTCTCTTTCATCATTGTTCACCTCACTTTCATCCACCTTCTTCCCTTGTCCCCAAACTGAAAAAAAAAACAAAAGACAAAAACACAATGCTATCATGTATTCGCTAGATAACCTAATAGTGTCTGAGTCAGAGCTTTTGTCTCATAGGTCTGATTCACACAACTGGTTTCCAGGTTGCTTAAGGAACTGCCCTGTTGTTGAAACCATGTTTTTGGGAAGCTGATATTGCTCAGATTTAGCATATGCTCCTTAGAACTCCTTTTACTTTTGCTTTCCCTAATATTATTTCATACACACTTCAGAGATACTGTGTCCAGAGTTTAGTATTCCTGAGTCTTCCGTAATTATAAGACAATATGAAGGGAAGGCAGGATTTGGTAGAAAAATCTCATCAGATAAGTAAGACCTTTCATCTAACCTTTGCATACATTCATGAATTGAGCTTTGAGTTTGCCCTATTTTTATTTCAATTATTTGTTATGTGGTCATATTTATAGACAGCAGGTTCTGGGAATGCCAAGGGTTTCTAAAATATCATGCCACATTCTGAGATTGGATGAGCAGCCATGTGTGAAACAGTAAATATACTCAGAGCGCAGGGGAAATAGTTTCGGTTGCCACTCTGGGGCAAAGAACAGTCTCAGGGGAAGTTTCCTTGCGTCAACAGACTTCCCGAGGTGTAGTCACCTTTGTCTTGGTGATTAGCACGATCTCAGTGCATATGTTGCAGATTGCACATTCTGTTGATATTTTAACTTACATGATAAGGATTGTTGATTTCTTGTGATTACAAATAATGTATTGTAGTCATGAGGGCTGCTTCTTAGCCAAAGCTGCTCTCAGGTTTTTTTTTCCCCCCTTAAATGTGGCATCACTGACCTAAACTGCTTCATGATAGAAAAGGGTAGGTTATGATGGGAGGCTAGGCCGTGGGTGGAGGTGGAGTGGAGGGAAGTGGGGAAGAGTGTTGTGGGGAGAAAGATGGGGGCAAGGCTGGGATCTGGGATTGAAACTGCTAGGGGCCCTAATAAGTATCTTCACAAAAGCTGTGTGTTTGCTTTTGTTTTTTAACACCTGTTTCTAGTGGATCGATACAACATATGATTAAAAAAAAAATAATGGTTAAGATAATGGGATACAGAGTCATAAAACATTTTCTTTTCTTTTTTTCTTTCTTTCTTTTTTTTTTTTTTGGAGATAAAGTCTCACTCTGTTGTCCAGGCTGAACTGCAATGGCGCAATCTCAGCTCACTGCAACCTCCGCCTCCTGGGTTCAAGTGATTCTCCTGCCTCAGCCTCCTGAGTAGCTGGGATTACATGTGCTACCATGCCTGGCTAATTTTTGTATTTTTAGTAGAGATGGAGTTTTGCCATGTTGGCCAGTGTGGTCTCGAACCCCTGACCTCAGGTGATCCACTCGCCTCAGCCTCCCAAAGTGCTGGGATTACAGGCATGAACCACCATGGCTGCCCAATCTTTTTTTTTTTTTTTTAAATTACACTTACCTTTTGTAATGCTCAGCAAATATTTTTATTATTACTACTGCTGTAAGCAAGAATTGGTGATTGGCTCATAATGTCTTCTACTGGCTATATGTCTTCATTAGCTCAGTTCATGTTCATACCCCTTTTTATAGGTGATAGATTGTAATTTCTCAATCCTATGTCTTTTCCTTCAGAATTAGCCCTTGCTCCTAAATAAAATAATTTCAGTCATCCACAACACTGTCTTGCAGACATATTTTTCAAAATTGGGCTGTCTAGGGAAAGGGCTTTCCTTTGATTTTGTTGCTTTCTTTCCTCTTGTATAGTGGCTGTGCCCAAAAGGTAAGGAAAATCAAGAAATTGTAAAATATCAGGCTATTCATATTAAATGTAAAACATAAAGTAATATTTAAATTAATTTGTAGCTTGTAAAAACTTTGGAAGCTTATATAAAGAACTAATGGCACATAATTTCTGAATTTTAATTAGACTCTTTGTTGGTATTTGAAATGTCAGCCTTAGCATACCTATTTTTAAATTATTATTAATTGACACATAACTGTATATATTTATGAGGTACAGTGTGGTATTTTGATACATGAGTACAATGTGTAGTGATCAAATCAAGATAATTACCAAATCCATCACTTTAAACATTTACCATTTCTTTATATTGGAAACATTCAAAATCTTGTCTTTCAGCTATTGAAAATATACAATAGGCCAGGCGTGGTGGCTCACATCTGTAATACTAGTACTTTGGGAGGCTGAGGCGGGCTGATCACCGGAGATCAGGAGTTCGAGAGCAGCCTGGCCAACATGGTGAAAACCCATCTCTACTAAAAATACATAAATTAGCTGGGCATGGTGGCACATCTGTAATCCTAGCTACTCGGGAAGCTGAGGAAGGAGAATCGCTTGAACCCAGGAAGTGGAGGTTGCGGTGAGCCGAGATCATGCCACTGCACTCCAGCCTGGGTGACAGAGTGAGACTCCATCTCAAAAAAAAAAAAAAAAAATATATATATATATATATATGCATACATACACACAATAAATTGTTAACTGTACTCTACAATGCTATATAGAACACTAGAATTGATTCCACTTATCTGGCTGCAATTTTGTAGCTTTGAGCCAATCTCTCCCTATACTCCCCTCCCTCCTACCCTTCTTAGCCTCTAGTAATCACTATTCTACTCTCTACTTCTATGAGATCAACTTTTTTTTTTAGCATCAACATATGAGAGAGAACATGTGGTATTTATCTTTCTGTGCTTGGCTAATTTCACTAACCATTAATGTCCTCCAGCCTCAGCCATGTTGCTGTGAATGACAGGATTTTATTCTTATATATTTATTTATTTTTGTTGTAGATTTCATTCTTTTTATGGCAGAATAGTGTTCCATTGCATATATACCACATTTTCTTTATCCATTCATCTGTTGATAGACACAGACTGATTCCACATCTTGGCTACTGTAAACAGTGCTGTAATAAACGTGGCAATGCAGATATCTCTTTGATGTTTTGATTTTCTTTCCTATGGATAAATACTCCGTACTGGGATTGCTGCATCATATGGTAGTTCTATTTTTAGTTTTTCAGGAACATCCATGCTGTTTCCTATAAAAGCTGTACTAATTTAGGTCTTCACCAACAGTGTGTAAGAGTCCCCCTTTCTCTGCACCTTTGCCAGCAGTTGTTACTTTTTGTCTTTTTGATAATAGCCATTCTAACTGAGGTGAGATGCTATCTCATTGTGGATTTGATTTGTATTTCCTTGATGATTAATTATGTCGAGCATTTTTTTGTAAACTTGACCATTTGCATATCTTCTTTTCAGAGATGTCTATTCATATCATTTGCCCATTTAAAAATCAGATGATTATTATTATTTTGCTATTGAGTTTTTTTAGTTCCTTGTATGTTCTGGATATTAATCTCTTGTCAATGGTTGGGTGCAGTGGCTCACACCTGTAATCCCAGCATTTTCAGAGGTGGAGGTGAGAGAATAGCTTGAAGCCAGGAATTTGAGATCAGCCTGGGCAACACAGTGAGACCCTGTCTCTATAAAAAAAATTTTTTTAAATTTAAATCAGCTGGACATGATGGTACATGTCTGTAGTTCTAGCTACTTGTAAGGCCGAAGCAGAAGAATCACTTGAACTTAGAAGTTTGAGGCTACAGTGAGCCATGATCACTCCACTCTAGCCTGGGTGACAGAGTGAGATCCTGCTCAAAAAAAAAAAAAAAAAAAAAAAAAAAAAAATTCCTAGCTTTGCACAGTGGCATTATCGTAGCCAATGCTGTTTATACAAGGTGTGATTATTGTTCATTAAAACTTTTCACAATAACTTGCTCTGATGACTTGCAATGTAGTTGGCATTGGCCATTTTTGATAGTCTCTATGGAGACTGATAAACAAACAAAACAAACAAACAAAAAATTCCCCTGTCAGATAATTAGTCTGCAAAAATCTTTTCCCATTCTGCATGTTGTCTCTTTAATCCATTTATTGTTTTCTGTGCTGTGCAGAAGCATTTTGGTTATATACGATTCCATTTGTTTATTTTTTCTTTTGTTTCCTGTGCTTTTGAAATCTAATTCATAAATTTTTTGCTCAGACCAATGTTCTGAAGCATATCCTCTGTTTTCTTCTAGTATTTTAATAGTTTTGGGTGTTTAAAGAAGACCAATGTCCTCAAGCATTTCCCTCTGTTTTCTTCTGGTAGTTTCATTGTTTTTAGTTTTTCATTTTAGTCTTAATTGTGTTGAGTTGACTTTTCATTTAAGTCTTTAATTGTGTTGAGTTGACTACTAGGGATCTAGTCTCATTTTTCTGCACATGGATATCTAGTTTTTCTAGTACCATTTATTAAAGATACTGTCTTTTTCTCATTGAATGTTTTTGGCACCTTTGTAAAAAATTAGTTGGCTTTAAGTACATGGATTTATTTCTGCATTGTCTGTTCTGTTCCATTGATCTATTTTTTTTTTTTTTTATGCCAGTATCATGTTGTTTTGGTTAATACAATTTGGTAGCATATTTTGAAGTCAGGTAGTGTGATGCCTATAGATTTATTCTTTTGCTCAAAAATCATATGGTTTTTGTTTTTCATTTTGTTGACGTGCTGTATCACATTTATGGATTTGCATATATTGAGCCATCTTTGCATTCCTGGGATTAAATCCAACTTGATCATGGTGTATATTTTTTATGTGCTGTTGGATTTGGTTTGCTGGTATTTTGTTGAGGATTTTTACATCTTTGTTCATCAGAGATTTTGGGCTATAATTTTCTATTTTTTGTTGTGACTTTGTCTGGTTTTATTATTAGAGCAATGCTGGCCTCATACAAGGAGCTTGGAAGAATTCTCTTCCTTTCAATTGTTTTGGAATAGTTTGAGAAGCACTGATATTTGTTCTCCTTTAATAAGTTTGTAGAATTCAGCAGTGAAGTCATTTGGGCTTGAATTTTTTCTTTATTGGGATATTGGGAAATGTTTTATTACTGATTCAATCTGATTGCTTATAATTATTCTGTTCATGTTTTTCATTTTTTCTTGGTTTAGTCTCGGCAGGTGGTATGTGTCCAGAAATGTATCCATTTCTGTTAGGTTTTTCATTTTGTTAGCATAGAGTTGTTCATAATAGTTTCTAATGATCCTTTGTATTTCTGTGCTATCAGTTGTAATGTCTTTTTATTCACTTCTGATTTTATTTATTTGGAGTTTTAATCTTTTTTCTTAGTCTACTGTTCACTTTCAAATTTTGTTTATTGTTTTGAAAAAGCAACTCATTGTTTCATCTATTTTTGTACATTTTTTGGGTCTCATTTCATTTATATTTGCTCTGATACTATTATTTATTTTCTACTGCTTTTGGATTTGGTTTATTCTTGCTTTTCTAATTCCTTGGGGTGCATTGTTATTTATTTGAAATCTTTCTACTTTATGGATGTATGTGTTTACTGATGTAAGCTTTGTTCTTAATACTGCTTTTCTATATCCTGTAGATTTTGGGCATTGTATTTCCATTTTTATTTGTTTAAAGAAATTTTAAAATTTTCTCTTTAATTTCATCATTCACTCATTGGTCATCCAGGTTCATCTTGTTAATTTCCATATATTTGTATAGCTTCTAAAGTTCCTCATTATTGACTTTTAGTTTTATTCCATTGTGGTCTGAAAAGACATTAGATGAGATTTTGGTTTTTAAAAATTTGTTGGGACTTGTTTTGCGGTCTAATGTATGGCCAGTCATAGAGAATGTTCCATGTGCTGATGAGAAGAATGTATATTATACAGCTGTTAAATGAAATTTCGTTAATGTCTGTTAAGTCTTTTGGTTTATGTCATGTTTAAATTTGATGTTTCTTTGTTGATTTTTTGCCTAGATGATCTCTTCAATGCTGAGAGTGGGGTCTTGAAATCTCCTCTATTATTTTATTGGAGTCTACCTCTCCTTTTATATCTAATAATATTTGCTTTATATATCTGGGTACTCCCATGTTGGATGCATATACAGTTACAGTTGTTAACCTTCTTTCTCCCTTTTTTAATAGTAGTTTTTTTTTTTAACTAAATGCGTATTTTTTATCAGATACAACTGTAGCTACTCCTGTTCACTTATGGTTTCTGTGTGGATTATCTTTTTCTATACCTTCGATTTTTGTTTATGTGCATTTTACAGGTGAAGTGAGTATATAGATGGATGTAGGCAGTATATAGTTAGGTCATTTTAAAAAATCAATTCAGCCAGTGAATATCTTTTGATTAGGGGATTTAATCTGTTTAAATTCAAGGTTATTATTGACAGGTGAAGATCTTATTCCTGTTATTTTGTTAATTGTTTTCTAATTGGTTTGTATAGCCCCTGTTCTTTTCTTTCTCTCTTATCATTTATCTTTGAAGTTTGGTGGTTTTCTGTGGTTATAAGATTTGATTTATTTCTCTTTTTCCTTTGTATATCTGGTGTATCAGTGAGTTTTATGCTTTCATGTTCTTTCATGTGTTTTCATGATGGTAGTTATTGTTCTTTTGCTTCCAGATGTAGAACTCCGTTAAGCATTTACTTTAAGGCAAGCCTGGTGTTTATAAATCCCTCAGTTTTTGCTTGCCTGGGAAAGGCTTTGTGGACTTCATTTTTCAAGGATAGCTTTCCTGGGTATAGTATTCTTGGCTGGCATTTTTTTTTTTTTTTTGTTAATGCAATTTATCACCTCATTCTTTTTGTCCTGTAAGGTTTCTGCTGATAAATATGCTATAGTATAATGGAAATTCCCTTATATGTAACTTGACATTTTTCTCTTGCTGTTTTTACAATTCTCTTTGTCCTTGACTTTTGAGAATTTTACTATATGTGTCTTGCAGAGGACCTTTTAGGGTTGAATCTATTTTGGAATCTCAGTTCCTTGGATCTGGTTGTCTGTATCCCTCCCAAGACCTTGGAAGTTTTCAGCTGTTAATTCAGGAAATAGATTTTCTATGTATTTTCGCATCTCTTCTTTCTATAGTTTGGATATTTGTCTTCCCCAAATTTCATGCTTTATGATGCCCATAAGTCCTGTCGTCATTCTTCATTCTGTTTTATTCTTTTGTTTTTGTTGTTGTCTGCCTGGGTTATATCAAAAGATCTGTCTTCAAGTTCAGAAATTCTGCTTTCTCTGGTCTTTTGTTGAAGGTCTCCATTGTATTTTTTATTTCATTCATTGAATTTTTAAGCTTCAAGATTTCTGTTTGTTTCTTTTCTTCTATCTGTCTCTTTGTTAGATTTCTTATTCGGATCATGAAATATTTTCCTGATTTTGTTGAATTGTCTATATGTATCTTGCATCTGATTGTAGAATATTGGTCAAGGTGGTGGGAGAAGCTATAGGGGAAGATGCAAGCCTTCTTGAAAGGTCAGAAGGTCTTGCAAAAGCTTCAGGAGTAATGCAGCTATGTTAATTCCAAGCAGTTCCCCAAACTGGGTTAAAAACTTTTGAAGATGGTGGGAGTCTCCTATACTACAGGAATCTGCAGTAGTAGTTCAGGCAGGTAGGGGCCTTCTACTTACCTTTTCACCATAAGGGGAAGTCCTTCCTGGATCTGAGCCAATCTCAATGGGAGAGAAGGGGTGGCAGGGGCAGGGTGCCTTGCTCCCTCCTCTTTGCTGCCATCCTAGGCTTCTGTGCTCCATAAGGCTTTCACCAGTCCCTTTCTATACTCCATTGCTGTCCCTCAGACACTACAGTTGGATTTTAGTTGTTTATTTGTTGTTTTGGTTGTTTTTTGTTGGGAGGGAGGGATAAGTGCCAGGCAATTGTAGTCAGCCATCATGTTAATGTCCTTTATTTCTCTTTAGGTTTTTTAAAAAATCCCCAGTCCCCTACCCCACCTTTTTTTTTTTTTTTTTTTAAAGATGGAGTCTCCATCTGTCACTCCAGGCTGGAGTGCAGTGGCATGATCTTGGCTCATTGCAACCTCCGTCTCCTAGGTTCAAGCAATTCTCCTGCTTCAGCCTCCTGAGTAGCTGGGATTACAGGCATGCACCACCACCCCAAGATAATTTTTATATTTTTTAGTAGAGACAGGGTTTTGCCATGTTGCTCAGATTGGTATTGAACTCCTGACCTCAGGTGATCTACACACCTTAACCTCCCAAAGTACTGGGATTACAGGCATGCACCACTGCATCCAGCTTTATTTCTCATTTTTAAGTTATATCTATTTTTTTTCAAATGTGGTTACTCTCATATAGTTTTGAAGTACCTTTTGCTTATTGATTTTATATTTCTAAGTAATTCATTCCTTTTAATTGCCAAGTAGTTTTAAATCTTTAGGGAAAAGTTATTTTTCCCTTTCATTTAGCAGTAAGGTTTGACACAAGCAATTTACCTTGCTTACATCTGGAGTAGGGGATGGATGATTTCTACTTTACTCTTACACAGAAGTTGTAGTCCTTTGATATCTCACCTTCAAAGGAAGACTGTAATTAGACTTCCCATCTTGGACAGGCCTTCAATTTTGTGTTTTGTCGTTTAGGCCCTTGAGGCTCTAGAAACCAAAACTTGAGTTTGCCTGGTTCAGTGATTGCCTGCAAAGGATATGACAACTGCTGGGCTCTCTGTTCAGCTTACTTCTCTGGGAATTGATCTTCCTGTAGTCCTTGACTTGAGTAGTCCTAACTTTCTTGCTAGTTACAGAAAAATTCAAAATCAGTTTCTTTTATCATATAGGAAGTGAGTGAGTACTTGTTGCTAAAAATAAAAGTTCTAGAAAGAGACAACTTTAAATTTAAAAAGTGGTTTCTCTGAGTGTTTTACTCTAGATTAAAGCCTTATTTTAATATAAAAAGAAATAATAATGATTCTCCCTTAGAATCATTATTACTCATTTGAAAATTAAATGTTTTGCTGAAGGGTTTTGTAAGG